AAGCTCAAGTTGCTGACGATTGATAAAGCTTGCAGACGCAAGTGCACACGGTGCCTTGGGTCCTGTTTTTTTGGTTTATGGCCTCGTGGCTTTCCTCACACAGCTATCAGCCAGAAGCAGATCATGTCGGTTTCTGTTTAGTCCGAGTGCTATGTGAGGTTTCATGGTGGGCGTGGTGCTTCTCTTTTTGAAGCTCTCGGGCAAAGCCTGGAGCAGGAGACAGGAATTACTAGCTGCGCAAGGACGACGACGGAGCTATCGTGTCCTCGAGGCCGCTCGTGGCCGCGACATCGGAGGGATCATGCATCAGTTGCTGGAGGACAGGTTGGCGTCAAACATTGCATCTGCGTAAGACCGGCCAATGACAGAAGTCGGCATATGGACAAGTCAGACATAGAGCGCCTTAGACAAGATGTTATAAGTCTGTAGGTGGGTACTCCACGAAGCAGAGTTGCGATGAGCCCTGCTGCAGGCACTCCACAACCCAGCACAGGCACTCCTGGCGACGCCCTCTGGAATCTTGCGTGGGCTCCGCAACCGCCTGTTGACTTCCTGTCTGTGCACCTTGCACTCGTACCTGAGGACAGCGCATGCTCTGCCGCCGTACAGCCTTTTCTTGGCCCTGGATGGAGAGGCAGAGAAGGTCCAGCGCACTCCAGAGTCCCTCAGGGACCCGCTCACGTCTGCCATTCTGCGTGAGTTTCCGAATGAGGCGCTTTTGAAGCGCGACAGCTTGGCTATCTTAGAATGTCTGGCGAGCGAGTACGAGCTGGACATCGCCTCTGTCGAGGCTGCGCATGCGACGAACCGGGAGTTCACCATGCTCAAGTCGCGAGGGTGGACCCCGTCGTTGGACTCTGTCTCAGCACGATTTTGCCTGAGACAATCCAACTGGTCCACGCGTGCCGCCGTGCCTTTGCTGGCCAGGCCTCGTCGGCAAGGCAAACCTCGTCGCCGTGGCAAGATGGGGCAGCGTGTTGGTGGGGGACCTTGGCGAGCTTTTACCCACGACAAGGCGCGAGGCACCCGTATGGATCCCACGGCTCTGAGCCGTGAGTACAAGGCCTTGAGTGACGAGGAGTTTGCGAAGTACCGAGACGCTGGGAAGGCGGCAACGGCTGCGCATCAGATGGGTCTCCAGCCTTTTGCACGCGAGCCTGGCCAAGGTCTGCTACGCCTGCCAGCCAGCATGGCAGCTGCAGCGGCCTTGGCGGATGCGCCACAGCCTGGCACGATGACAGCCACTGGCGCCATCGTCGCCACGGAC